GCTGCCAGACCTGCTGAGCTTTTCCAGCAACTTGTGTTTTTGTTCCAAGGAATAACTCGTCACTTTAAGACAGCACGTAGTCTGAAAGATCTAGTACATGTAAAGTTGTATTGTCGAACCATTTCCATTTAAATGGGTTTATGTTGTGAATGTGTTTCCGTTCATGATGTGGTTATCTGTTAAAACAGTGAGGAGCTATATACTTGTGGTTTTTGTAGGTATTAGTGTGAGTACAACTTGAATACTGTGTACAGATTTGGTCACCTTAATTGAGTCCTATAATTTGTTAAGAGATTGTCAACTAAGGTCAAAGTCTACGGAATTGAGGGCAAATTACTGACATGGCTAGGAAGTTGGTTGAGTGGCAGGTGGCAGAAAGTAGGGATTATAGGTTGGTACTTAAATTGGCAGGATTAACCAGTGGTGTCTGATAAGGATCTGTGTTAAGGCCTCAATTATTCACATTATTTATTAATGACTTGGATCATGACATAAAAAGTCATTTATCCAAATTTGCTGATGACACAAAGTCAGGCGGCATTGTAGACAGTTAGACGATAGCATAAAATTACAAAGGGACATTAATAGATGAAGTGAATGGGCAAAACTGTGGCAGATGGAATTCAATGTAAGCAAGTGTGAGGTTATTTATTTTGGACTGTAAAAAGATGATCAGGGTACTTTCTAGATGGTATGAAGCTTAATACAGTGGATATCCGAACAAATTTGGTGCTTAGATCTTAAAATGTCATGAGCAGATGCAGAAAATAGCTTAAAAAGTTAATGGAATGTTGGCCTTTATATCTAGAGGACTGGAACATAAGGATGCAGAAGTTATGCTGCAATTATACAAAACCGTGATTAGTCCTGATTGCAGTACTCTGAGCAGAGCTGGGCACCACACCTTAGGAAGGATATATTGGCATTGTAGAGAGTACGATGTAAGTTTACAAGAATGATACCTTGAGTTCAGAGTTTAAGTAATGAAGAGAGATTATACAAATTAAGCCTGCTTTCTCTAGAATTTAGAAGGTTAAGGGGTACGGTAATCGAAGTCTTCAAGACATTAACAGGAAAAGACCGGGTAGATAAAGATAAACTATTTCCACTACTTGGAGCTTCTGGAACGAGAGCACATTGTCTGAGAATTAGGGCCAGACCGTTCCGGAATGACGTTAGGAAGCACTTCAACACACAAAGGGTGGTAGAGGTTTGGAACTCTCTTCTACAAAAAGCAGTGCATGCTGGACCAGTTGTTAATTTTAAATCTGAGATAGATGATTTTTTATTGAGCAAAGATAGTAAGGGAATGGGTCAAAGACGGGTATATGGAGTTAGGCCACAGATCAGCCACAATCTCATTGAATGGTGGAAGAGGCTTGAGGGGGTGAATGGCTTACTCCTGTTCCTATGTCCTGTGTTACTATCTTAAGGAAGGATCTACATGCATTGGAGGTGGTTACTGGTTTAATTTGAATGGTTGGTTAGCTCAGCTGACTGAATGCTTGGGTTGCGATGTCGTCTAACGCCAATAGTGTGGGCTCAATCCCCACACCAACTGAGGTTATTGTGAAGGACTCTCCTTCTCAACCTCTCTCCTTATCTGAGGCATGGTGACCCTTAAATTAAACCACCATCAGTCATCTCCCTGTGATGAGAGAGCAGAAGTATGTGTGCAGCATTGAACAATGTATTTGAACCTGCTCCTTGCATGTGTCTTACTAGTTCACTTTGTGTAATGATTACCCAATTGAAATTCCTAAATCCTCAGTGTAGATTTTAGAGAGAGGTGAAAAGTCCTCAGCAATCAATCACTTAATATCTCCACCCTAATATGATGATTGCATTTTTCCAAATGCAATAATTGGCCTCAGAACTTACACACCTCTTATCTCTCTCATCTTCCCGCTGGTCGCATCCTGTTCCCGTTTCCAGAATGCCAAGGAAGTCTACTTAAACAATGACAGCCCCAGCCACAATGGCAGCATTCTGAGTCTCTATGGCAGCAACTTGTGCTGTGTTGGAATGTCAGATTGATCATTGGATGCTCCTACACAGTACAGGGTCACCACATATGTTATTGAAGGCAAGTGCGCGTTCCAATTGGAAATGCTGGGGTCTCCAGACCTGTGCTGATCCAAGTTGGAGATTGTCTCCTCCATGTTCCCTGACATTTGTGCATAGACTAAGTTTCTAAGTGCACTGAACACTCATCCTCATCAGTCTTCTGTGATGGAGACCATCAAAATCCTCTTTTGTGGCATTGCCTCTGTCGAGCTGGCTGTTTTGGTAACTGGCTTCACACAGCAATCATTGAATTAAGAAAACAGCTTAGATTCTATCTGTGCCTGCCACCTCATGTGTAGGTTAATGGTTGTTTCCCAATGTCCACACCCATTCTCTGCACCAATCAATTTCGTACCCACTGAGTTTGAAATTCTGACAACTGCACTGGAAGTTAATGCACAATATTTCATTCTCTCTCCATGTTTTGGTGTGCCTCTTTTTGTAATTAGTGCCCTGGTCTGTTGGTCAACAATATTTTAAGCCATTAGACTATAACATGGAAGAGCAGAAGTAGGCCATTCGTCCCATCAAATCTGCTCCACCATTCAATGAGATCATGACTGATCTGATCATCCTCAACTCCACTTTTCTGCCTTTTCCCCATAACCCTTGATTCCCTTTCTGATTAAAAATCTGTCTATCTCAGCTGATAGACTGATGTAAAGTATTTATTCAACTCCTCTGCCATTTCTTGGTTCCCCAGCCTCATTATCTTTGGGGCTTCTGTTCACTTTGATTTCTCACTTCCTTCCTATATATTTAAAGGGGCTCTCGTCTGTTTTTATATTGCTTGTTAGTTAACCCTCGAAGTTTATTTTCCCCCTCTTTCTTTTGACATTGTTTGTTGGATTTTAAAACTTTCACAATCCTCTGGCTTACTACTAATCTTTGCAAATACTTTTTCTTGCAACTTGATGCTCTCCTTACTGTCTCTGGTTAACCATAGTTAGCTTAGCCCCTTCCAAGAATCCTGCTACTTCACTGGGACATATCTTTGTTGGAAGCAATGAAATATTTTCTCAAATGTCTGCCATTGTTCCTCAGCACCTTGCTGCTAAAATCCTTTTCCAGTCTAATCCTGCCAGCTCAGCTCTCATTCCTTTGAAATTACCTTTATTTCAGTTTGTTTGTTTAAGTTTTAACAGTTGTTCCTAACCCAAGTCTCTCATTCTCAAACTGAATGCTAAATTCTACCATGTTATAATCACTTTCCTTGGGGATCTTTTATTCTGAGATCATTCATTAAACCTGCCACATTACGCTTTACCAGATCCAAAATACCGTGATCCCTGATTATCGGAAATTTTCCATGAATTTTTCCTCATGGCTACTTCTGCCAATTTGATTTTCCTAATTTACATGAAGATTAAAATCACCCATGATTAACGTGCTGCCATTTTACATGCCCTCATTATCTCCTGATTTATTCTCTGTCCCACTGTGTAATTGCTGTTCGGGAACCTATAGACTACTCCCACTGTTGTCTTCATTTCCTTGTAATTTCTTATCCATTCCATTGCACCGGTATGGATTTTACATCTTCCAAACCAAGTTCATGTCTTGCTATTGTACTTATTCTATCTTGTATAAACAAAGCTACCACAGCACCCCTTCCTTCCTGTCTGTCCTTTTAAAAAGCTTTGATCTCCTTGGATGCATGTCTGTGCAATGTCTATAACAAAATAATATGTTAATGTCTATTTGTGCCATTAATTCATTTACTTTGTTTGAATTAGTGTCACCTAGTAGTATCAGCACTACACTATTCATCTAGAGACTCAGGTAATGTTCTGGGGACCCAGATTTGAATCCTGGTGGAATTTGAATTAAAATCAAAAAATCTGGAATTGAGTATCTAATGATGACCATCGCTAATTGTTGGGAAAACCCACCTGCTTCACTAATACCCTTTAGGGAAGGAAATCTGCTGTCCTTACCTGGCCTGGCCAATATGTGACTCCATACCTACAGCAAAGTGGTTGACTTTTAACTACCCCCTTGTCAAAATATGGATGGGCAATAAATGCTGACCAATGAATACAAATCCTATGAATGAATTTTAAAAAATCAATTTCCAAGACAATGGTTCCAGCATGATTCAAGTGAAGCATGTTCCATCAGAACAGCTCCCAGTACATCAATATGGTGTATTGGAAATACTGGAAAGACAGCAGCTGAGAGGAGACTTGATAGAGGTCTACAAAATTATGAGAGGGTGGATAGTCGGGGGCTTTTTCCCAGGGTTGAAGTTTCAATTACAAGGGGGCCCAGGTTCAAGGTCAGAGGGGGAAAGTTTAAGGGAGATGTGTGAGAGATGTTTTTCACAGAGAGAGTGGTAGCAGCCTGGAATGCACTAGCAGAAGAGGTGGTGGAAGCAGGCACATTGAAGACATTTAAGAGGCACCATGATGGATACATGAACAGGGAGCGAATAGAGGGATACAGATCAAAAAATGGCAAGTTTGTTTTTAGATTAATTAGGGCATGATGCTGGGTACAGGCTTGGAGGGCTGAAAGGCCTGTTCCTCTGCTGTACTTTTTCATTTGCTCATTTGTTCAATACCCCACAAACTGAAGCCCGTTCCAATCTTTAGACCATTTCTTGAACTTACTGACTTTATTTACCTGTTTCCCGTTTAAATTTCACCACCACCAACCCTGGAGTGGCTAGAGGTACCAGGTATAACAGATTGAATTAATTACCAGTGCAACAAGGATACCCTTGCACCATCATCTCCTCATGTCTCTGTTTTTGCTCAACAAAAACAGACTTCCTGTTAGCCAACACATTTCGGGTACTTTCACAGGAAGTGAAGAAATGCTTTGAATAACTTCTGCATTCAATGTCAGGAGACAAGAATCAGTGAGTGAAAAAAAGAAACACTGAAGAAATGGCAATGATTCCTCTCTACATTTGGCTTTCTGCAGTCTCTGTGCTGGGATCCAGTGAGTATTTTCTAATAACTCTTCAATTCACACACTTTTGTTTTATCTTTTCATTGAAAGGTGAGGAGTGGTGAAGGTCCAGTGCAGTCACGGTCGGAGTCAGATAAACAGGGACGGGGAGAAAACAGATTGATTAGGAGACAGCGAGATCATGTAACAGCAGGAAGCTATTCAATCCATCGAGCCTGTGCACAGATTCTATGAGATCATGGCTAATAAGTATCCAAATTAAATCCATGTCTTTCAAAATCCTTCCAAATCAAAATTGATCAATTCTGATACGTTCAATTGTTTCCCAGAAATCCCAGGAGACAGTTAATGATTTTCAGGGTCAGTGCTTCCTGACCTCACTCTTCTCAATTTAAATTTGCTCCTTTGTTCTGAACCGTCTGATTGAAGGAAATCTATTAAACATGAAAAGCGCCTCGATGTGATCATTTGCACTGGTATTAAATGCTGAAGTGACCAAAGGGCACTATGTCTGCACAACAAACTCCTGGTGACAGTGCATGAGGACTGGATTCTCAAACCCGACTGAAACCCTGGGTTGAAATGCAGCCCGGACTTCTCCGCCCCTTGTCCGGGACCGCCGAAAGCCCTCAACTGGATTCCAGCCTCTCAAGCACTCCCTCGTCCCAAATCTGACTGTATGAAATATCTGTCGTCACTTCATGACAGATTCAGTGTGATAAGGCGTGTTGACTGTTTTCAAAATCGATCTCCATGCTGTGTTAATAATCTCAATCTCTCCTCACAGCGTTTTCTGAAAATGGATGGTCAATGACAGTTGCGGATAATGTGAGGGCTGAGAAAGGAGCCTCCGCTGTTTTACCCTGCAGCTTCACCCACCCAGACACTAATCTCACACTCACCGGCTCTGTGGTATGGATTAAATATTTCACAGGTGTTATCTTCAAGTGCACATATCCGGGTCCAGACCATTCCCAGGGTGAGTTGTGTGAGAATGTGATACAGCGGGATGGTGGGAATCGATTCAGATTCGTAGGGAACCTCAGCAACAAAGATGTCTCAATAATGATGGAGGGACTGAGCCAGGAGGATGCTGGTCTCTATCGGTGGCGTGTGGATCTCAATATCGGCAGTATTGGAACTGCGAGAGGAACATGTCTAGAAGTGAAAGGTAAAGAACAGTGTTCGGATGGTGTTGCAGCCCCGATAACTCTGTGGGCACAGGCTCCACCTGGTCCGGGAGCTCTCGGGTTGGCTATTTGTCCTGGGCTCTTTCAGTTGGTCTCACGCAGGAGGCAGTGAGAAAGAGAGAGGCTGAGATTTACAGACCAATCCATCACCGTTTCTGAAACCTCCCACAGTTTCTCACAATAATGTGGCAATATCACTAAGTCTATAGGGCCAGACTAATGCCCTGGTAACAAGGATTGAAATCCCATGGCAACAGATGCTGTCCATTAGGAAAGCTAATCTCAGCAACTGTGACCATCAAACTGTCATTGAGTATCATTTTTTAAAAAATCTGATTGACTCCTATACTTCAGGGAAGAAAATCTGCTGGCTGTGATTTCAAACCACATAGACCCATCTCCACTATCCTCTGAAATGGTTTAGCAAGCCACTCAGCTCAAGGGTAAGACTATAAGAAATAGGAAAAGGAATCGGCCATTCAGCCCATTGAACCTGCACCAGTAGTCAATAGGATCATGGCTGATCCAATATTCCCCACGTCTACTTTCCCACCTTTTCCTCTTAACCCTAGATTTTCCTACTGAACAAGAATCTATCCATCTCAGCCTGAAATGTACTCTACTCCTACAACTTTCTGTAGCAAGGTGTTCCAAAGAATCACAACCCCCTGAGAGAAGAAATTCTTCCTCATCTCAGTCTTAAATTGGCACCCCTTTATTCTGAGACTATGCCCTCTGATCCTATATGCTTCCATGAGGGGAAACATTGTCTCATCATTTACCCTGTCAAGCCCCTTAAGAATCCTCTATGTTTCAATCTGATCACCTCTTGTTTTTCTAAACTCCAGTAAGAAAAGCCCCAATCTGTATAACCTTTCCTCAGAAGACAATCCCTCCATACTTGGGATCATCTCAATGAACTTTGCCTGAACCTCCTCCAATGAAATGACATCTTTCCTTGAATAAGGGAATCAAAACTACTCACAATACTCCAAATGTGGTCTCACCAACACCTTGTACATTTGCAGAAAGACTTCCCAACTTTTATTCTCTGACCTCCTTGAAATAAGGGCAACATTCCATTAGTCTTCCTGATTACCAGCTGTACTTGTGTGCTAGCTTTCTGTGTTTCAAGCATGAGTAACCCAAAGTCCCTTTGTGTTGTAGCTTTCTTCAGTTTCTCTTGTTTTAAATAATATTCTGTTCTTCTGTGATTCCTTCCAAAATGAACAAATTCACATGTTCCCCATTATACTCCATTTGCCAATTTTTTGCCCACTTATTTAACCTGTTAGTGTCTCTCTGTAATCTGTCTGTATCCCTCTCACAACATTCCTTTCCACCTATTTTTATGTCGTCCACAAATTTGGCTAAACTGCATTCACTTCCTTCCTCCAAGTCATTAATACATGTTGTGAGCAGTTGGATCCCAGCATGGATTGCTGTGAAACCCCACTGGTTACAGGTCACCAACCTGAAAAAGAACCCCTTATCCCCACTTGCTGTTTTCTGCCCATTAGCCAATTCTCCATTCATGTCGATATTACTACCTCCAACACCATGGGCTCTGAGCTTATATTACGTTTGTAAGGTACTTTGTTAAATATCTCCTGGAAGTCCAAATATAACATATCTGCTGCTTCCTCTGTATCCACTCTGGTTGAGACTTCCTCAAAAAACTCTCATAAATTAGTCAGACATGACTTCCCTTTCATGAGGCCATGCTGATGCTGCTTGATTAGGTTCTGATTTTTCAAATGTTCTGCTATTACTTCCTTTAATGATTGATTCTGATACCTTTCCAACAATGGCTGTTAAGCTAATTGGCCTACAGTAATCTACTTTTTGTATCCCTCCTTTTTTTGGATAGGGATGCCATGTTAGCAGTTTTCCAATCCTCTGGTACTTCTCCAGAATCCAATAATTTATGAAAAATTGCAACTAATGCATCCATTATCCCTGCTGCTACCTCTTTTATGATCATTGGATGCAAGCCATCGTGGCCAAGGGATATATCTACCTTTAGCCAAACTTGTTTATCTGATATTACTACTTTAGTGATGGTGATAATACTTAATTCCTCCCCCATATTCTTTTGTATTCAAGGGACATTCAACATGTCTGCTACCAGAAAGATTATTGCAAATATCGGTTTGTCTCCTCTGCCATTTCCTTGTTCTCCAAACCATCCTCCCAGATTCATTTTCTAAGGGACCTTCATTGACTTTTATCTTCCTCTTCCTTTTTACATATTAAAGAAGCTCTCATTGTCAGGTTTTAGATTCTTCACTAGTTTGCCCTGAGTTTATTTTATATCTTTATTATTGTTTTAATCCTCCTTTACTGGATTCTGAATTTATCCCAGTCTTTGGGACTATCACTGACTTTGGCCTCCTTATGTGCTATTGCTTTCAACTTAATACCCTCTTTAACTTTATTGGTTAGCTGTGATTTGTTTATCTCTCTCTTAGAATCTTTCCTCCTTGCTGGGATGTATTTTTGCTAATCTATCTGTCCACTTCACTTTAGCTAACTCAATCCTCATTTCATTGTAATTTCCTTTATTTAAGTTAAACACAGTTGTTTTTGATCTAAGTTTTTCGCTTTCAAACTGAATATTAAATTCTGTCATGCTATGATCACTACTTCCTCGGCGATCTTTTGCTCAGAGGTTATCCATGGGGGCAGCACAGTGGCTCAGTAGTTACTACTGCTGCCTCAGAGCACAAGGACTTGGGTTCGGTTCGAGCCACAGGCAATTGACTGTGCACATTCTCCCTGTGTCTGCGTGGGATTCAGCTGGGTGCTCCAGTTTCTTCCACATTCCAAAGATGTGCAGTTTTGGTGGATTGGCGATGGTAAATTGCCTGGTAGAATCCAGGGATCTGTAGGCCAGGTGGATTAGCTGTGATAGATGCAGGGTTATGATGATAGGGTAGGAGCTGGGTTTGGATGGGATGCTCTTTGGAGGGTTGGTGCGGACTCAATGAGCCAAATGGCCTCTACCTACACTGTAGATATTATATGATCATCAGATCCAAGCTAGCCTGTTCCCTGGTTGGCTCTGTGACATATTGCTCTAGGAAACTATCCCTAGTGCACTGTATGAATTTGTTGTCGTAGCTACCCTTTCCAATTTGATTAACCCAATCAACATGAAGATTTAAGTCACCCAGAATTGTTGCTCTATTCTTTTTCCATGCTCCTATTATTTGTTGATTTGTTGTCTTTCCCACAGAGTGGCTACTGTTTTGGTATTTGTGATAGATATAAAAGAATATTCAATATGGTGCTTGCTGGTCCTGCTTTATGGCAAATTTTACATTTTACTGATATGTACCTGTGATTGAACAGAAAATAGAACAAAAATTCCTCAGCTTTCCCCCCACTGGGGAATTTCCTCGTTTCTTGCCTGGGACTGTTCTAGATGAATGATTTGAGATTGTTCTCATTGGACACCAATTCCATTATTGTTGCGTCATGTGAACATGATCCTCGGGATGGAATCTTCATCCTTTATTATACGTCCATAGTTGCTGTTCAGAAGGTGGTGGTGAGCTGCCTTGAACTGCTGCAGTCACAATGCTGTAGGTTGATCCACCATGCCCTTAGGGAGGAAATTCCACAATTTTTACCCAGCAACAGTGAAAGAATGGCGATATACTTCCAAGTCAGGCTTTCAGGAGAGATTGCAGGTGGTGGTGTTCTGAAGTACCTTCACCCTACAGGTGGGTTTGGAAGGTGCTGTTTAATGATCTTTGGTGAATTTCTGCGGTACATCTTTGGACAGTATACTCTGCTGCTATTGAGTATCAGTGGTGAAGGGAATGGATTCTTGTAGATGTGGTGCACGTGGGCTGCTTTCTCCTGGATGGTGTCAAGCTTTTTGAGTGTTGTTGGAGCTGTACTCACCAAGGCAAATGGGGGGGCATTCTATCACACTCCTGACTTGTATCTTGTAGATGGTGGAGAGGCTTTGGGGGAGTCAGGAGGTGAGTTACTCACTGCAGTATTCCTAACAAAGAACAGTACAATACAGGAACAGGCCCTCCGGCCCTCCAAGCTTGCACTGACATACTTTGCGCTTCCATACCAAAACTGTCTTCACTTACAGGATCCATATCCCTTTGTTCCCTTCCTATTCATGTGTTCATCCAGGTGCTTCTTGAATGTTGCTATTGTATCTGTTTCCATCACGTCCTCCGTAGTGTGTTTCAGGCTCTCACCACCCTTTGTGTGAAAAACTTGCCTTGCATATCTCTTTTAAACTTGCCCCACCCCCCCAACCCGCATCTTGAACCTGTATCCCCTAGTAATTGACCCCTCTACCCTGGGAAAAAGCCTTACACTTTTCACTTTATCCATGCCATTCACAATCTTATAAACTTCTATCAGGTCACCCCTCAGTAAAAACAAACCCAGTCTATCTAAGAGATAGTAAGAACTGCCGATGCTGGAGTCAGAGATAACACAGTGTGGAGCTGGAGAGACACCGTAGGCCAGGCAGCATCAGAAGAGCAGGAAAGTTGACGTTTCAGGTTGGAACCCTTCTTCAGAAATGGGGGAGCGGGAAGGGAGCTCAGAAATAAATAGAGAGAGGGAGGTGGGGCTGGGGAAAGTATTTGGGATGCTGATAGTGAGTGCAGGTAGGCAGTGGTGAGGATTGGTCAGTGGGGTGGGAGGAGCGGGTAGGTGGCAGAGAAGGTGGACAGGTTGTGTCCGGTCAAGGAGGCGGGGATGACAGAGAGGGTTGGTCATGGGGTGAGGCCGGGGATGGGGGGATTTTGAAACTGGAGGAGCTGCACCTCATATTCCGCCTTGGCAGCCTACAGCCCAATGGCCGAAATGTGGATTTTACCACATTTACCAGCCTGTGTTCCTCCAGCTCCACACTATGTTATCCCAGTCTATCTAACCTTTCTTCATAGCTAAAATTCCCCATACCAGGCAACATCCTGGTAAACCCTGTCCAAAGCATCCA